TTAAGATTTTTGAATAAGTGATATATCAAAGGAAAGTGCATTTCTTATGGATTAAAATGAGGTATACGACAGTGTCGTTGCTTGAAAACTGACAAAGTTATTTGCGTGAATAGGGAAAATACAATATACTAAGAAATGTACTCTGTGCCAAAATTGTAATGATGTGCACAATTTATAAATTTTATGAACTTAAGATTTTTGAATAAGTGATATATCAAATGATAGTGCGTTTTTTATGGATTAAATTGAGGTATACGACACTGTCGTAGCTTGATAACTGACAAAGTTAATTGTGTGAATAGGGAAAATACATTATGCCAAGAAAATATTATAATATATCTAATTATAAATATATTTTGTGGATTAAAATGAGGTATACGAAACCATCGTAGCTTGAAAACTGACAAAGTTATTTGCGTGAATACGGAAAATACATTGTGCAAGACATGTACTCTGTACCAAAATTGTAATGATATCCAAATTTGATAAACTTATGAACTTATGATTTTTGAATAAGTGACATATCAAAAGAAAGTGCGTTTCTTATTGATTAAAATGAGGTATACGAAACCATCGTAGCTTGAAAACTGACAAAGTTATTTGCGTGAATACGGAAAATACATTGTGCAAGACATGTACTCTGTACCAAAATTGTAATGATATCCAAATTTGATAAACTTATGAACTTATGATTTTTGAATAAGTGACATATCAAAAGAAAGTGCGTTTCTTATTGATTAAAATGAGGTATATGAAACTATCGTAGCTTGAAAACTGACAAAGTTATTTGCGTGAATAGGGAAAATACAATATATTAGGAAATGTACTCTGTGCCAAAATTGTAATGATATGCAAATTTTATCAATTTTATGAACTTAAGATTTTTGAATAAGTGATATAACAAAAGAAAGTGCGTTTCTTATGGATTAAAATGAGATATACGACACTATCCTATCTTGAAAACTGACAAAGATATTTGCGTGAATAGGGAAAATACAATATACTAGCGAATAGACTGAGTGTTTTATGGACATTTTAACTTGTGTGTTAAGAAAGGAAAAGAATAACTGAGAAAAAGAACATAATTCTGAGTGAATTTTGAGGAAAATTACAACGCTGAGTGGTTTGTAATAAATCAGGACAGTGTGTTAATGGAAAGCTGGAACTGTGTGCTATGGAAAATATGCAAATACAAATCGAACTGAGTGTTTGAAGAAAGAAAAGAAAAAAACTTAGGGATTTTAAACAGAGAATTATGTGTGTGCAGATAAAATATAACAGAATAACTGAGTGCTATTAGTGAAAAACTTTTAACTGTGTTGTAAATGTAAGAAACATTAATTTTCTTCTAGAACATAGGGGAAAAGTGAAAACGCAAAGGATTGTTTATTTTAATATACTGAACGAGTATGGAAAGAAGAGAGAGAGGGAAAACGGTTATTTTGAATCTGACGAGCGTGTTTTGCACAAAAAGAAAAAAATTATAAGTGAAAAGGGGAAAACCCCAAATGATAGTTAATTTAAACGTAACGACTGTTGCTAAAGAGAAAAAATAAAACAGAAAGAACAACAAAAGACGTGAAAGAGTGTAAAGTGAAAGAGTGTATAAAAAACTGAATAGATCGTGTTTGCTAAAACTTAAAAAAAAAACTCTCGTTGTGTGTATGTAAAAGAACTTATGAAAAAAAGAAAAAAAAAAAACTATTGAGCATTAAGAGAGAAACCTGAAGGAGAGAAAGATAACATATATGTGTAGCAACAAGCCAGTAGAAAAAAAAACCCATCCTTATTTTGCCTGAAGAAACAGCAGAAAAATCGCCTAGTGACAAGAAGTTGAGTGTGTGTTGCTGTGTTTATCATCATTGGAGTTACCATAAGCTAAGTGTTTTTGTTGTATTGTTTTTTATTTAATTTTAAATTGTGTGATCATTTTTTTTATTTGATCTTCTATAATTTTAAAGAGAGAGTTAGATAAAGAATTGGACGTTAAGTTTAAATGTTTTTTGCTTTTGTGGAATTTTTCTAGAGAATCAAATTGAAAATTGTGTGTAAAAAAGAAGTAACGTATTAAATGTGTTTTTTTTTGTGTTAGTTTCTGGAATTTTTTTTTGTGTGAGTTGTAACGTATTTTTCCGTAAATTTCTTTGAATTAATTTAATTTTGATACATCTTGGAAAATAATTTTGTGATTATAATTTTTAAAGTTTTTTGAATTTTGAATATTAATTTTGTATATTATATTGATAAATATTGTTATTATAAATGGACAGAATGAACGCACAGGAGATTTTAGCTTTGACTGTTGAGGCATTAAAGGAAAAGTTGACAGGGTTAGATTTGCCTACCACAGGACTTAAAGCAGAGTTGCAGGAGAGGCTCTTGGGACATTTTAGTCTTAATGCAGGTGATTCAGGTTCCGAATATGACGATGTTGCATCGGCAAGAGGAGTAGTCAATTTAAATTATGAGAGAAGTGTGTTTACGTTGTAACAAACACCATCATATTGCTATCAATAAAAGACTTTAAGTCATATTGAAATGAAATATGTATGTAAGTATTAGAGACTAGTCATTAACAAAATGTGCTTATTGCAGAACTTAAAGGAGGACTTGGGAGCCATTATAAGCTAACTTCAGTCGGCCGGGGGATTCGTGTCCTATTTAAGCTCTATTGGTCTCCAATACATTGGTCACATAAAAGTTTTATTAAAGACTCCCGTTTATTGAAAAAAGACTGTACACTGGTTAAATACTGCATACAATAACAAATGTCCCCTTGATAACAAGATCCAAAAAAAAAAATCAATTACTAACATTATATAAATAGGTTCTCCAGATGTTATTGGAGTCCTGAGCCTCTCTACCCTACCCTACCTTGGCTTTATAGGCTTTATTTGATGAACATAAAACCCCATAATCGATGCTAACTACTCTGTTCTTTTCCGCTCACCGAAAGAAACAAATTCTTTAAATTAGAAATCCATAATTAATGTATATTTATTCAAAACATTTCAGTATATAGAGGAATTCTTAATGGAAAATAAAAAAAATATAATTCATTTTACAAGTACATATAACGGACTGTTAATATGGTTAAACTTATTTATATTCATATTAAAATAAATACTAATTTCGTTATAAAGTTTCCTTAGATTAAAAAAATGAAAAGCGCATAGTAGTCAAATGAAAGATTAACCAATGAAAAGACTTTTACTGCAAAGCAAAATTACTAAATTCTAAACAAAGTTTATGATGATGAAAACAAATTAAAAATCAAAATCATTATTTTTACATTAATGTTCGAACTTCGAAGCAACAAAACCAAACTTAAATGTTTCATTAGCTTTTCTTTAAACGACTATTTGGACAAATAGAAATAAAATGTTTAAGATTATGTTGCGTCTCTACTATTTATATGAAAAAACAAAACGACAAATACATACAATTGTGTTTGATACACTCACCACTTTTAAGTTCGTTGCTGCTGTTGTCATTGAGGCCTCGATGATCACACTGCGTTTGATGTTGTATGTATAAATAAGAATTTATTTTAGTAAAGAGAATGTTTGTTCGTGCATATGATGGTTATTTTGATTTTGGTTTTTTTTAAGTTCGATGTTCGATCCACAAGTTATTAATGTTAACAATTTAAGTAAACTACTAGTATTTTAATTGGCTAGGTAATCACCGGCTTTATGATGTGCGCTTTAGTTTAGGAATTTATTAGTGGGAAATATGTAATTGAAAGATTTTTTTTTTCTTGTTTCAGTATTATTTAACAAATTTCACCACTTCTTCATTAATTATATCTTATATTTAAATTGCCTTATTTACTAGCAAATTTCTATTTTATTTAAGGTTTATAATGCAAATTCTGCAGAGAAATTTTGCTTTATAAGCCTTCTATAAGATAAAAATTTATATTGAGTAAATATGCATATAACGAAAATTATTATCGGTTGTAAATTATTTTTTTTTGGTTCTTGTTTAAAAAAAAAAATATTCTAAGTACAATTATGTTTTTTTTTTTTTTTTCTTTCTTCTTCTGGAGCTTCAAAAACCGTAATGACTATTGAATCAAAATAATTCCGTCACTGCACATAATATAAAAAACTTAGCTGGCGTTGCAGGTTATTGATTATAAACGATGGTATTAGAAAATTCGGCTGGTGTTGCGTTGTTTATGGAAGGAGGATTTTCCTTTCAACTATCTCCAAGTACTAGAAGGATTAGATTAAAAATTTACAACTCCCAGTGGCCACCAGTTTGCCACCAATAAGGCGAGTGTAGGTAAAGCAATTTGTGTTGGTAGATCCAAAAAAAAAACCTGTGTTATATAAGATGATGAAATATAATGTTCACGTGATCCAACGAAAATGAGGTTAGGGAAGAAAATGTTGGACTGATGTGTAAACTTACTATTTCGTATCTAATTTTCACTTCCTAAAGTTTGATACTTTCCCAAGAACTGTATAATTTTATTTAACAAGTTAATTTTTCCTTGTATAGAATATTTAAAAAAAAATATTAATTTAGCTTGCTCTTAATGTGAGCACATTTCTATATTTCTTAATTTATTTTGATATGTTTCAGAAATTTTAAAGCTTAATGATGTATGTTATTGGAAGGTTGACGAGAGAAAGAAAGATCAACTGTAAGGTTACTTATGATGAAGTCTATTAAAACATTTAATGGAAAAGTACTATAAAAGCTTAGAGAAACAGAATAACAAAAATGAGAAAAAAAAAACTCATATAACATCCCAGTCGATTAACCAATGTAACTTACATAGGTTACCTTTATTACCCTAGACACCAACCTAGGTTAATATCATTAGTGATGGTATGTTACATTCAAAGGTAAAGTAAACGTACACACAGATGTAAATAAAATAAATCTGTTAACCATAACATAAATATAAAATTTTACATTTTGTCAAAAATGTGCATTACAAAACCGCATCATTATAATCTTTTAGATAATATAATGATGAGGAAACTTTATGGCCTAATGTCCTTAGCGTGAAATGTTCCTAACTTTTTACCTTCTAAATCCTGCAAAACATAATAATTGTTACCAACTTTCGCTGAAACCTTTGCCTTTAGAAATAATGGGGCCAGTTTGGCATTAAAATTCTTTCCCATAGAACTTTGGGCGAAGTTCCTTCTAAAAACTTCTTGACCCACACTAAAGGATATTGGTCTTGTCCGTAAATTATATTTATCTCTATTAGTGGCATAAGCCTCAAATATATTCTTTCGCAATTCTTTACGCAATAGTGAAAGTTGATCTTCTCTTGATAGATCTCCTCCTGGTTCATTTAACATATTAATGTTCCTTAATAAGGCATATGATTCCCCGTGAGTGATCATATTAAAACCAAATATTGCCCTGTAAGGTGAACACTTAATAGAGCTGTGGTAGGTATTTCTTAAGGCACAGCTTATGGCTGTTATGTTCTCATCCCAAAGACGCTGATCTTCTTTTAAAGATTTACCCTTTCGGAAGCATTAGCTTGCGGGGAATAGACGGCCGTGAAAACGTGCTTGATACCAAGTTGAGTTACAAAAGCTTCAAAATCATTGGCCTTGAATTGCGAGCCGTTGTCCGTGACAATGGATTCTGGGACTCCATATGTGTGAAAAATGGACCCTAAAAGGAAGTTTTTTATTGCAATTGAATTAAATTTTTTTAATGGGCAAAGCCAATGAAACTTTGTGAGGTGATCCAGAACTATCAATAATCCTATATTTCCATTTTTGCTGCGGGGGTAAGGTCCTAATAGGTCTATAAAGAGTCTTTGGAAAGGACGAATTGAGGTGATTTGTTGACCCATTTCTGGTTTTAAAATAATATTTGGGGATTTTGTTGTTTTGCAGATTTCACATTCGCGAACAAACTTCCGCACGTCTTGTACAATCCCAGGCCAGAAAAAATTACGCCTAATCCACTCTAAAGTTTTTGACATCCCTCCGTGAGCAGTTATGGAGGTATTGTGTGCTCTAGCAATTAATTGAGGCCTTAAGTTTTTCGGAACCCACATTTTCCAGGCATTTTGGTCTAGGTCTTCATTTCCGGTGTAATGTTCCGTTCTGATATATACAAATTTATCTACTACACGTATGTCCGGGTATATTGCAGGGTTTTCAGTTATTCGTCTTTTCAGGTCCAAGTAGTCTTTATCATTAAAATGTTCTGAATTAAGATCTATTTCCGGTTCTAAAAGTTCAATGGCAGAGATTTCGTCATGGCAAATTCGTGAAAGGGCATCGGGAACTACGTGATCTTTCCCTTTCCTGTGGCTAATGCTGAAATTAAACGATTGCAATTTTAAGGCCCAGCGGGCTAATCTTCCTGTTAAATCAGGTTGCTTCATTAACCACAGAAGAGAGGAATGATCAGTTATTACCTCGAATTCTTGCATTTCGAGGTAACATCTGAATTTCTTGATGGCCTCAATCGCCGACAGACACTCACGTTCTGTTACGCTATAGTTGCGTTGGGACGAATTAAGTTTCTTTGACATGTAGCCTATTGGTTTTTCCTCTCCATTTTCATCTAATTGAACCAGCACAGCTCCAATCCCGTAATCAGAGGCATCGCAATGCAAGTAGAATTTCTTAGAAAAGTCCGGGTTTTCTAATACTGGAGCTGAAGTTAAAAGTAGTTTAATATTTTCGAAGGCTTCTTGGGCTGCATGGGTCCAGACGAATTTTCGTTTGGTAGAAAGAGTTTCCGTAATAGGAAATACACACGAAGAGAAATTTTGGATAAATCTCCTGTACCACCCTGCAAGTCCAAGAAAGCCACGAACTTGTTTTACAGTTTTTGGTACAGGCCATTTAAGTATAGATTCGACCTTTTCTGGGTCGGTTTTTATTCCACCGTTTCCAATTATAAAACCCAAGTATTTCACTTCTGTCACGCAGAATTTACTTTTTTTAATGTTAATTGTAAGGTTAGCCCTTCGAAATTCTTGTGCAATACGCACTAAAACTGCTAAATGGGAGGAAAAGTCTTCTGACACAATAATTAGGTCATCCAAGTATCCAAAAACGCAATTCTTCAAATCCGGTGGTATCAATTCATCAATAAGCCGGCACATTGTTTGTGGCGCATTACATAAGCCAAATGGCATTACGACGAATTGATACAATGGTCTTCCCGGAACTGTAAAGGCCGTAATGGGTTTAGAATCATTGGCAAGGGCGATTTGCCAATACGCGTCCTTCAAATCTAGCTTTGAAATCAGGTTAGCTTTAGGAAGCCTAGAAAATATTCCCTCAATGCTCGGTAAAGGATATGCATCCTTTTTTGTCACTAAGTTGACTTTTCTTGCATCTAAGCATAAACGAATTTTGTTTGGCTTTACTACCAAACGTATAGGGGAACTCCATGGTGATGACGAAGGTTCTATCACCCCTAAGGCCAACATGCGATCAATTTCTTGATACATCAGTTTCTCCACTGCTGGAGAAACCGGATAGAACCTCTGTTTAATTGGCTTAGCATCAGCTACGTCAATTTCATGTCTAATTAGACTGGTTCTCCCGAGACCGTGTATTTCAAAATTTGGGAATAACTCTATTATAGCAGTTAACTGCTGATGTTGACCTGGAGTTAGAGGATATGTATGTTCATCTGAGTTTGCAGACTTTTTGATACTAACGGACTGGACATCGGAAAATTTTTTTAAAACAGACAATTCAGACGGACTGTCAGACAAACGGACTGATAAATCGGACACAACTGCAGAGTCAAATATATCTGCCGCTAATTTGAATGTTTCCCAAAAATCAATCCCTAAAATCAAACGCTGAGATATTGAAGGGACGATTAACAATTTTAATTTGTGAACTTGGTTTCGGAAAGTGATATCTACGATTAAATAACCTAATGTCTTCTGTACTTTCCCGTCAGCGGTTTTAACAATAGTTTTAACATTAAAAAAATTATCAAAATTAGAAAAGTCTGTTTCAGCTAAACTAGATCCAATGCAAGATACGTTTGCACCAGTATCTAGCAAACCATATTCGAGGAAATTCAAAAATTTTACTTGTGCGTAATAACGCTTATCTTTGGGATTATTCATTATAGAAGAAATTATATATTTAGATAACGATTTTCTACGTTTAAAATAATTTCGTAATCTCAAAGTGGATCTTTTAGGTCTTTTGAATTTGCCATGGGTAATTGAATCTACATGAAAAATTTGGTTTCGTTTGTCAAGGTAGTCTTGTAAACGTTGATGGTATGGACGAATTGGTTGAAGTTGAATGTCAAGGGATAAACTACGAATGTTGTCTGGACGAAGGATTTGTATATTACTAACTGGTTTAGAGAATAAAGTGCTGCAAGGAGCAGATTTTACATTTGAGGTTGCGGTGGAGGATGAGAAGTTTGGTGAATGTATTGGTTTTTTGAATTGGATAACTTTTTTGAAGCGCAATTGACACACTGCGGTTTATAAACCTTTTTGGCCCCACAGCCATAACAGAAAATATTTCGGTCTTTAAGACAATCTTCCCATAGATGTCCAATTTCATCACAATTCCAGCATTTTACTGAAACGTGACCTTGACGAATGGCATCTACTTGAAAATCATCGGAAGTTTCTTCCTTGGTAGAAATATCGGCGACTTTCCTAATATTACAATACGAATTTGTTTTTAGAGAACTGTTTCTACGACACTGCTCTTCTCCCAATAAATTCTCTCGCATTTGTACCAATTTCCTTAAATGTGCAATCGAATATATTGGCACATACAACAATTCGTGTCGAATATCTGAACGCAGATTTCTGACTAGAATTTCCACAAGTTCGGATTCTGGCATGGGGGTTTCTAACCTATCCAAAATAGAACAGACGGCTTCATAAAAGTTTTCAAAAGTTTCTCCATTTTTCATTTTTCGATTTCTCACCTCTTCTCTGATATCATAACTAGAGCGGAAATCTTTGTACTGATATCTTAAAGCAGAACAAAATTCAGACCAGTGAATGGAGTCTACCTGTTTATGGTATCTCCAATACCAGTCTCTGGCTTTGCCAGTGAGTAGTATATGGAGATTTTTACAAATTAAATTAAAATCGTCGTTAAAATTTTCTCTCGTTAAGGACCTTACACGGTAGAGGAACTCTTCAACACTCAGACCATTAGATGAACCATCGAACTTGAGGTTCCAGTTCTGAATGATTGAGGTAACTTTCTCTGAACGTAATGATACATGTTCTTCAAAACGATTATTAGCATTTAAATGGTTAGTATTCTCTGAATATAAATTTCTTTCTAGTTGTGGATTTGGACGACGTGGATCCTGATTTGGATTAGTGGATGAAATGTTAAGATTTTGAAGAGCTCTTGTTATGCTAGACTCAATCATCTGATTAATTCTTGAATAATCTATATTTCGATTTGACCGATAGAAATTTGTTGACACTGGAATAGGTGAATTTTGATTGATATTCGAAGTACGTTGCTGAGATTCACCTGGTGTAAAAGGCATTTCAGAATCATTTGGAACAGTTGGGGAGTTGTGAGGAGTTATCTCGGTAGAAACAGGAGGATTATCCTCATTTGCAAAATGTGTATCTAAATTTCGGGTATTATAACGTTTAGCCATAGCACCACGGGCTTTACTACGGGTGTATGGTTTAGATTTTGAACTGGAATAACTTTGTGAGTTACTCAAATCAGCACCTACAGCCCTCGTGTTTGAAGCTGAAAAGGAATGTGTGTTATATTTACGAAGATCTCCTAATTCACATGGTCTTCGACATTTGGGACATTCAGCTGATTGTGATAAGGATAACTCAATACAGCTGCGATGAAAGATGTGATTACAAATTACTATTACATAACATTCTTGAGAATCAAGAATCAGTGGAGCTTTACATATGAGACAATTTAACTCAGAACTTGACTGAGAATCTTGTGGTGGTGGACTGTGTGCAACAGACATTTTGATATATTATAAAGATTATTAGGAATAAATCCTTTAAAAATCTCAAATCAAATGAAAAATTTTGTAGTTTAACTAATACGTATATCTCATTTAGTTTATTTCCTTGGTGAGCGAATTAAAACAGAATAGAGTATAAATATATATAATGTGTAATATTTGATAGAGTTACAAAGTTAGCTATAGTGTTTGAAATGCACATCATCTATCACAAATAAGTTTCATCACTGTTTAATGTTGAATAAATTGATTATAATTAAGTCAGACCTTCTAATTAACCTATTGAACAATTGATGAAATATTTTGCAACAGAAAATTATGAATTCCAGGCAATAAAATCTGGGAAAATTTAACAATGATATCTGGT